GAGAAAGTAGAATCTTCTTTGAAAATGAAGAAAATCTTGAAAAGAGATTATTCATTCCATAAACCCCATACAATAGATTAAAAAAAAAACAAAAAACCTACAAGACATATCATTATGATATTTCTGAAAGCTGAGACAAATAGGAGACCTTTAAACTTTTCAGAAATAAAATAAGTGGGTCATCTCTAAAGCTAGGGATTTAGGACGATAATTAGCAAGATATTTTAATATCCGGTTGGCCCAGCCCCATGTCTATGAACCAAAACCCTTGGCTCACTCTTGGCTCCTGGTAACTCAGACCTCCATCTGGGTTTACATCTCTCTGTTCTGAGCTTCCTGGTCTGTGTCACTGGGCCTGCCTCGGGTGGTTGTCCTGACTTGTTTCCTTGCCTTTCTACTCTCTGCTTCATTCACCTCACCTGTCTGCATAAAGCTTCTCATCCTCTTGGCCAGTGGGCAGCAAACTCATTAGTCAACAGAGCCAAATATCAATAGTACAAGGATTGAAATTTCTTTTGAGAGCCACATATTTTAAACTTAAACTTCTTCTAACGCCACTTCTTCAAAATAGACTCACCCAGGCAGTGGTATTTTGTGGAGGAGCCACACTCAAAGAGCCACATGTGGCTTGTGAGCTGCAGTTTGCTAATCATAGCTCTTGGCTAAAGGTCTCCACTGGCCTGGATCATTCATCTTCATTCCTTTAAGACTGTCTAGGCCACATGTGTCAAACACAAGACCCGCGGGCCAAATCCGTCCCGCCAGGCCTTTCAATGTGGCCCGCACCACGCTGTCATCACTGCACTCCGCTGCGTTTCCATCACAATGACAGTTTATGACTGTTCAGTAAACCATTCGGCCCGCGATTTAGGCTGGATTTTAGATTTTGGCCCCTTCTCTGATTGAGTTCGACACCCCTAGTCTAGGCCAAAACTGGTGTGGCTCAGTGGATAGAGCATCGGCCTGCAGACTGAAGAGTCCCAGATTCAATTCCGGTCAAGGGAATGTACATTGGTTGCAGGCACATCCCCAGTAGGGGGTGTGTAGGAGGCAGCTAATTGATGTCTCTCTCGCCTCTCATCGATGTTTCTAACTCTCTATCCCTCTCCCTTCCTCTCTGTAAAAAAATCAATTAAAAAAAAAAAAAAGACTGTCGAGGCTACATGCTGCTCAAACTAGGAACATCAGACTCTCTTGTTAATAGTGAAATTCTGTCTCAGTGAACATTGTAGAAAAATTTTCCCCATGTGTCACCATAATTGTTTTCTCTCTCTCTCTCTCTCTCTCTCTCTCTCTCTCTCTCTCTCTCTCTCTCTCTCTCTCTCTCTCTTTCTCTCTTTCTCAAAAGAGGACTCTTTCAGGTCTTGAACAGCTATACCCAACTTCAAAATTCCACACAGACATAAATATAATCACTAGTTTTTGTAAAGGGCTTTACTCTAACTGAACATTTAAGAGTAAAGCAAAATGTTTAAAGTGTGTTAAGTAATTAGTCACATATTTATGCCATATGCACTTGTTATTCAGTGAAGGTATGGTTTGATTTCCAAATAACAAAATGTTGTGAATAGTATCAGGACAAATGGATACTGAATAGCTGAACTAATAATTTTACATTTTTAAGGTAAATTGTCTCATAATTTTCTGTTTTACTGTGTTTAGTGTATTTCTTCAATCCAGATGAAAGAGGACAAGATGCTTTGTCTGTGCCACTCTAACAATCAAGTCAATAAACTGTTCTTCCATGAAATCAGCATTATAGGTCCCATTTACAAATAAAGCGTCAGAGACAAAGGCTCCAATTTTAGAGGGTTAAATCCAGGTTGAATAGTCCAGATGCAGTGCTATTTGTACGGTTACCAAATCAGAGTCATACAATCTCTGAGGACAACTGAAGAAATTCTTTTGAATTTTTAAACAGAAGAACCTGGAAAAACAACAACAAAACAAAATCTTTTATTCAGCTAAAATTATAAATCTCTTGTATATTTGTCTCCTATAATTCTGAACATAAGAACCCTTATTAGAAATGAAAAGCAGGGGCATCTGCATTACTTTCAACAATAGGACGCATTTACAAAAAAGGAAGCTAAAGCAATGCGGGTGGCAGGTGGCTGGTATGGTTTGTACAGCACGTAGTTTGTATACAGAGGCGGGCAAAAGCAGGTTTACAGTTGTTCATGTGGAAATAATACAATAATAAATAAACAAACAAATAAATACAAGAATAAACGGTGTGTTTTGCATGTTCACAACTGCAAACCTACGTTTGCTGACCCCTGTGTGTGTGCATGGGTGTGCGTACATCCTAATACATATAAAGAGCTAGGTGGCATCACGACCAAACGGGCAACCAGTCACCATGAAATGCATGGACACCTCTTAGTTCCTCCCTCTCCCCCAGCCCCCGCCCTGCCAGCCGCTCAGCATGAGCAAGGGAGCTGGCAGCAAGGTGGGACTGGGGATATTGAGCGGAGGTGGCAGGCTGCTTCGCAGGATGGCTTCATGGGGCAGCAGCAAGCTTCGCAGAGCAGTTGAAGGGTGGGGGAGCCTCATGGAGCAGTTGAGGGGCCACGAGCATCGCGGAGCATCCCGGGGCGGGGAGCTTCACATAGCGTCACAGGGTGGCAGAGGCCACGTGATGGAGGCCGGGCTAGGCCTAGGGACCCTAACTGCGCACAATTTTGTGCGCGCTGGGCCTCTAAGATATGTGTGTGTGTGTGTGTGTGTGTGTGTGTGTGTGTGTGTGTATGTGTGTATGTATATGTATATATGTATATGTCTATATATATAGAAATATATAAGAAATTAGAAAATATAAGCAAATAAATAAATGTGTGGTTACTAATCATAATAGCTATTTCAAAGGAAATGCACAGGGACAAGGCCTACTTGTGGCTCTGCTATGCACTCACCACCTGGGAGACTTGCCATCCCATTCCCAGCATCTCTGCCCATATACACTTTCATGTCATGTCTTCATGCCTTTGCTCAAGCTCTTTCCTCTACTTGAGAATTCAGCTTCCCTTATTTTGAAGTGCAAACACTTAATCTTCAAAGCCCAGCACACCTTCCTGTGTTGACTCAATAAGGGTCAAACCTTCCTCTCTTGATCCTTTCTTGCTACTCCATACAGCTCTTGTTACATTTTGCTTGGTATTATATAGTTACTTCCCAGTGAGATGATAAGTAACTTAAGAGCAGAGACTGTGTTGTACTGATTTATGTTTTCCTACAGTTCCCTAAGTAGAACTCAATAATGCTTGGTTGGGATTTCCAAGACCGTCAAATTCAGATGGCACCACTGTGAGTTATAACTATGAGTATGATTTGACCTGTCTCCACATGTCCTCAACTGCCTCAGATAGGTGAATGAGATTTGCAGCTGATTCTTCAAGTCAAAGTTTAGGATGATGATATCAATGTGGTGTAGCAGAGTATTAGAAATATATATTATGTGAGCTGGGGCTAATTTGGATACTGCACACCTGGCCAGAGACATACATACATTCATTAGCAACCAGCTCTCTGTCATGCAAATCAGATCGTAGTGCTCACACATGGGGGATAGCAGACCTGTGTGTTTGCACATTCTCTCTTTTAATTACCACTTAGATCCTCTTGCTCTCAGCTGTCTCTGGTGCTAGTCTGCGTGGGCTCCAACTTGCTTCACCTGGGAGCAACCGGACAGTGCCTCACTTCCTGCTTGCACCACGCCCCTCTTCCTTGCCTACCACCCTTGAGTTACAGGGCACAAATAATATTCTCTCTCACAACGAAGTTAAAAACCTTTTATCATTTATAACTGAACACTGGCTAACACAAAGGAGGAGATGTAGAGTGTCAGGTCTTATGAAAAACAGGTTCTCTTAATGTTCTCACCCAAAGCCAAGAAGTGGATATTTTTCGTTCCATTTTCAAGCAACTGAGAATCGGCAAAGGTAAGTCGCTGGGCCAAGTTTACATGGCTCTTAAAGAACAGAACTAGAATTTGATCGAGGTCTATTTCTTAGCTCATTATTACTTCCATACAGCCTGCTGCCTCTCAAATATTGATAAGATAAATAACTCAAATTGAATGAATGACTAAAAAAATACATTTTATTGATTTTTTACAGAGAGGAAGGGAGAGGGATGGAGAGTAAGAAACATCGATGAGAGAGAAACATCGATCAGCTGCCTCCTGCACACCCCCCACTGGGGATGTACCCGCAACCAAGATATGTGCCCTTGACGGAAATCGAATCTGGGACCTCCCAGTCCGCAGGATGATGCTCTATCCATTGAGCCAAACCGGTTTTGGCAAATGAATGACTTTTTAAAAATTAGAATAAAGCAGTTATCCAATTTAATTAAGTTCAAATTTAAAAAGGGCAAAAATATAGATGTGAACATGTGCACGTGTGCCCATTTGTGTCTCTAGCTCTGGCCACTCAGGAAGTCCAGGAGCTGCAACCTTCAAATATCAATTTATACACCCGGGCCCCAAATACTGCTTTTTAAAAATCACTCTTCACTATACAGAACAACAGAATATTTATATTAATTTAAACTAACTCACAACAAAATACTTATTGATTACCGAGTGTGAAGATGTAACTTTACAATAAAGAAGCCTGATAGGTACCTCTTAATTGGGCGAACAAAGTTAACCTACCGCCGAAACCAGTTTGGCTCAGTGGATAGAGCGTCGGCCTGCAGACTAAAGGGTCCCAGGTTTGATTCCGGTCAGGGGCAGATATCTTGGTTGCGGGCACATCCCCGGTGGGGGGTGTGCATGAGGCAGCTGATTGATGTTTCTCTCTCATCGTTGTTTCTAATTTGTTCTTTTAGGCCTAGTTCTAATCTGTGAAATGGGATGCAGACTACATTTTATCATTTCTTATCCTCATAATAATGGGTGTATTCACCAACTTTTTATCATTGAAACACAGTTGACATATACTATATTAGTTTCAGTTGTACAACATAGTGATTCTATACTTATATATCTTATTAAGTGATCACCATGATTAAGTCTAGTAACCATTTATCACCATACAAAGTTATTACAATATTATTGACTATATTCCCTATGCTATACATTACATCTCTGTGACTTCTTTATTTTGCAACTGTAAGTTTGCATGTCTTAATCCCCCTCTCCTATTTTGCCCACCCCCCTACAATCCTCCCCTCTGGCAGTCATCAGTTTATTCTCTGTATCTATGAGTCTGTTTAAGTTTTGTTTTATTTTTCAGGTTCTACATAAAATGAAATCATATGGTATTTGTATTTCCCTGTATGACTTATTTTACTTAGCATAATTCCCTCTAAATCCATCCATGTTGTTATAGATGGCAAGATGGCAAAATTTTATTTTTTAATGGCTGAGTAATATTTCTATACACACACACTCACACACACACACACCTCCCCCCCACACACACACATGTATATTACATCTTTCTTTTTTTTAAATCTTTACTGTTCAGATTATTACAGATGTTCCTCTTTTTCCCCCCCATAGTTCCCCTTCACCCAGTTTCCACCCCACCCCAGACCCTCACGCCCCTACTGTCCTCATCCATAGGTGTGAGCTCTTTGTCCAATCTCCTCCCGCACCCCCCACATCTCCCTGAGAATTGTCAGACCACTTCTTTTCCATGCCCCTGATTCTATTACAATCACCAGTTTGTTCTGTTTGTCAGATATTTTATTCATTTGATTTTTAGATTCACTTGTTGATAGATATGTATTTGTTGTTACTTTGTTGTTCATAGTTTTTTTATCTTTACCTTTTTCTTCTTCCTCTTCTTAAAAAATACTCTTCAGGATTTCATATAATACTGGTTTGGTGGTGATGAATTCCTTTAGCTTTTTTTTTTTTTTTTTTTTTTTTTTTTTTTTTTTTTTTTTTTTTTTTTTTTTTTTTTTTTTTTTTTTTTTTTGTCTGTGAAGCTCCTTATCTGACCGTCAGTTCTAAATGATAGCTTTGCTGGGTAATCTTGGTTGTAGGTTCTTGCTATTCATCACTTTGAATATTTCTTGCCACTCCCTTCTGGCCTGCATAGTTTCTGTTGAGAAATCAGCTGACAATCATATGGGTACTCCCTTGTAAGTAACTAACTGTTTTTCTCTTGCTGCTTTTAATATTCTCTGTCTTTTGCTCTTGACATTTTAATTATGATATGTCTTGGTGTGGTCCTTTTTGGATTCCTCTTGTTTGGGGTTCTCTGCATTACCTGGACTTATAAGTGTATTTCTTTCACCAGGTAGGGGAAATTTTCTGTCAAATAGGTTTTCAATATCTTGCTTTCTTCTTCCTCTTTTTCCTCTTCCTCTTCTTCTTCTCCTTCTTCTTCTTCTTCTTCTTCTTCTTCTTCTTCTTCTTCTTCTTCTTCTTCTTCTTCTTCTTCAGATGTTGGTATGTTTGAAGTTGTCCCAGAATCTCCTTATACTAACTTCATATTTTTAGAGTCTTTTTTTCTTTTTGCTCTTCCAATTGGGTGTTTTTTTGTTTGTTTGTTTGTTTTTTTTGTTTTGTTTTGTTTTTTGCTTCCTCATACTGCAAATCTTTGACTTGATTCTTGGGATCTTCTAGTCTACTATTGAATATCTATATATATTATTCTTTATTTCAGTCAGTGTATGCTTAATCTGACTGGTCCTTTTCTTTCTTTCTTTCTTTCTTTCTTTCTTTTTTTTTTTTTTTTTTTGGCATTCTCACTAAGATCCTTGAAGTCTCACTAAGTTCCTCAGAGGTTTCTAGAAGATTCTTGAGTAACCTTATAACTGTGGCTTTCTTCCATTTCTTTTATTTGTGACATGTTTCTTTGTCTCCATATTTTGGCTTCCCTGTGTTTGTTTCTATGTGTTGGATAGAGCTGCTAATTCTCTTTGAGTTGATAGTGACCTTGAGTGATAGGTGTCCTATAGGGCCCAGTGGCTCAGCCTCCTCAGTCACCTGGTGAACACTCTTGGTGAAACCCTTTGTGGGCAATGTGCACACTCTTGTTGTAGTTAAGCCTTGATTGCTGTTGGTATTACTGGGAGGAACTGACCTCTAGGCCAATTGGCTGTGAGGACCAGCTGTGTCTACACAGCTGAAGAGCTCCTGTGCAGGAGACACCCTTATGGAGCAAGACTTACTTCAGTGGGGCTTTGGTGCTCATTGAGTCTGCCCCTCGAAAGTGTCACTTATTGATGTGAAGAGTTGTAATCTGGTATAGTCTCACACTGACCACTGGGTACACTGGCTCTTAGATCTCCAAGGAGGTGCAAAGTCAGCCACTGCCTGTGGCCACCCAGCAGGAGCTACAGAGATATCTGCAGATTTCTCCTCTTTGTTTGGGGTTTGGAGGTGCCCAGATGAGGCCCAGTTGTGAAGCAAGGCAGACTGCTGCTGCTGGATGATTGCTTTGGGGCTCTCTAACCCAGCTTCTCTCTGTGTGATAGGCTTGAGGCTGATAAAGGACAGGCCATTCATATGCAAAAGCCACTGTTAAATTGTATCTGCATCTGTTTCTTCAATTACACTTTTACAGTGATGATCAGAACTCCAATTTTATTTTGTACAAAAAGCCTGATGCACAAAATTCATGCAAAGGGCTCAGCCCTCACAGCTGTGGAGGCTTGCCTCGGATCTTGCCTCGGATGTTACAGCCCTAGCTTCACCTGGAAGGTTGTCTAGGAGGACATCTGAAAGGATGTCCAAAAGGTCGTTTGGCTGTCTGGTCTAATTAGTATGTTATGCTTTTATTATTATAGATTATTATTGATTTCAGAGAGGAAGGGAAAGGGAAAGAGAGATAAAAACATCCATGATGAGAGAGAATCATTGATTGGTTGCCTCCTGCACACCCCCTACTGGGGATAGAGCCTGCAACTCAGGCATGTGCCCTTGACCAGAATCAAACCAGGGACCTTTTAGTCCATAGGCCAATGCTTTATCCACTGAGTCAAACTGGCTAGGGTGAAAAATGTCTATTCAGGTCCTCTTCCAATTTCATAATTAGATTGTTTGGTTATCTTTGCCTTTGAGTTATCTGAGTTCTTTATATATTTTGTATATTAATCCCTTATCAAATATATGATTTGCAAAATCTGTGCCATTTAGCAAGTTATCTTTTTGTTTAATTGATGTTTCTTATGCAAAAGCTTTTTCACTTTGATGTAGTCCCATTTGTTTATTTTAAATTTTGTTGCCCTTGCCAAGGAGGCAGATCCAAAAAATATTGCTAAGACTGATGTCAAAGAGTTTACTGCCTACATTGTCTTCTTGGCGCTTTATGGTTTTATCTATTACATTTAAGTCTTTAATCCACTTTGAGTTTATTATTTTTTAAGGCATAAGAAAGTGGTCTAGTTTTATTCTTTTGCACGTAGCTGTCCAGTTTTTTGAACACTATTTATTGAAGAGACTGTTTTTTCTGCCATTGTATATTTTTGCTTCCTTTTTTATAGATTAATTGACCATATAAAGTGGGTTTATTTCTGCCTTCTTTATTCTGCTCCATTGATCTATGTGTCTGCTTTTGTACTAGTACCTGCTTTTATTATTATGACTATGTAGTATACTGTGAAATCAGTAAGCACGATCCCTCCAGCTTTATTCTTCTTACTCAAGATTGCTTTGACTATTTATGGTCTTTTGTGGTTCCATGAAAACTTTAGGGTGAATTTTTTCTACTTCTATGAAAACTGCCATTGGTATTTTGATAGGGATTGCATTGAATCTATAGATTGCTTTGGGTGGTATGGACATTTTAACAATATTAATTCTTCCAATCCATGAGCATGGTATATATTTTCATTTATTTGTGTCATACTCAATTTTTTTCATTAATATATTATAGTTTTCAGATGTTTTGGAGGCTCATCTCTCCTGTGCAGGATCTAAGGGTTGGAGTGCCTAATGTGGATCTTAAATCCTTCACTCCTTAGGGAAAAGTTCTGTACCTTTGAGATGCCTCCTGACCATGAAACACTGAAACTGGGGTGTGTGGTTTTTTGTTCATAATGGGACTATCTCTTTCTCTCAGTGCTATCCTTTACAGTGTTATCCTTTGTTGCAGGTACTCTGTTCATTCAGTTCCTAGGTCCCCTTCAGAGGTAATTATTCCATATGTAGGTATAGATTTGTTATGCATGAGAGGAGGTGATTTCAGGTTCAATGCTGCCATTTTGAACTCCCTCCCCAATAATTTTTTTAAATTAAGCTTTCTTAGAATGTCTCTCTTTTATAAGAAGTGAGCAACCTGTGTGCAAAAAATTATGAAGACACTTCACAAACACTAGATTCTCAAACAAACTGAAAAAACTAAATTAATTAATAATTTATTTAGTCTTTGTCTTTGTTTTCTCTTCCAAAATTAGGACTAGGTGACAGAAAAAACATTATATGAGGAAACATGAGCCATTTTCGGCCCTGGCTTCATTCTTGTATCTATTAGTTACATGACCTTAGGGAGGCTTTTAATCAGGTTGGATTACTCTTTCCTCATCTGGACAATGAGATAATTTGGTTAGATGACCTCTGCTGTCCTGATTTTGAGAGTCTGCAATTCCATCATGTTTTCTCCAAACCAATTAGATACGTTTCCATTTCTAGTGAGAAAAGTTAACAATGGGGAAGGTAACATTTCTCAGGATAATGTGAGCCCAAGACCAAAAACACTACCTTGTTTGAAGTCACTGGTTCCTGAGCACATTGTGGTATGTTGACTTTTACTTTTCTCCCCTTTACAGGTTCCAGTAAAAGATCCTTATCTTGAACAAACAATGCTAGCTGCTCATTTAGCTTAGTGTTGAAACTTAAAAGAAAAAGTCCTGATTAGAGAGCTATTTTACCATCCTTTCAATAATAGAGAACAATGCTAGATTGTAATGCAAGTTCCTTCATAGCAAAGAGAAGGGTTCCTAGTTGTTTGTTTGTTCTCCATAGGGAAACTAGAATCAATACTCATTGGCAGATAGAAGTGGACTGTTAATAATTACTGCTGAACTCTAACCAAATATGTGGTGGTCAAATCATAAGATTCACTGAGTAGCTTATTTTGTTTTGTTTCTCAAACAATAAACAGATTAAAAATGTTTTTTCCCACCAACTCTCAACTCTAAGACCATTTTG